TTAACGCCGTTAAGTATTCACGGATTTAAAAGGAAGAACTCTTCAGATCGCTTTGAGAGAAAACATAGGCTTTTAAGAGAGAACACATACGATGTGATTGAACCTATTTATGTGAACGCATTAAAAAAGGACAATGATACGAGGTGTAATTTAAAGGATTCAGAGCAAGTGAAAATGTCACCGAAATCGAGGTTCAAGAAGGCGGCGATGCACGTCGCGAAGCTTACTTCTATGCCGGAGACTGGAAAATTATTGTGTATGAGGGAAAGGGAAAAGTTTACAGTAAGTTTTGATGAGGACAAGTCGTTCAAACTGCAGGAGTTGCCGCACAGTCCGGCTCAGAAAATTAACAAGCTCTCAGAAATATTTCAATGTCTGGAAATGAAGGGACGTCATAGAGATAGAATGAAAAAAGAAAACAGTTGGTTTTAGTTTATGGTTTATGGAAAACATCCAATGAAAATGTTATTGAAATATAGAAGAGTTACCGAAAAATATTAAATTTAAGTGTTAACTATAGGATAAAGATTAATATCTTAATGCTCAAAGTTTTTGTGTGTTGTTTTTGTGTACACAATAAATGTGAGTTATTTTTTAAATATTCCGTATTTTAATCTATATTATTTTTTATGATACTTTAGGTCGTAATCAATTTGCCAAGGAGTTGCACTTATGAAACAACGACATTATATTTGTGGCTTTTACTGTGACCATGTATATGCCACTGGCAAATCGTGAAAACTGCCTAAAAGTAAGTACATTAGATAAAAATTCGATTTAATTTATAATGGAATTGAATCGTTAACGACGTAGCTGCCGCCATTAGGCCAAAAGGGTTTCCTACCAGAAAGTGTAACGTAAGAATTAAGTAAATTGTGGGAAAGAATGTATGTTACAAATTAAATAACTACGTCTTGACCTTGCGGTTGCCAACAGGTGGCGCTCGCGTGCTTCGTACCGCAAAGGTCAAACAAGAGTGGCAGTATGATTAATGGTAATCAAAATATTGATTATTACGCATCCATATCGTTGCGTTCTCAAAGAATATACACATATAATATGAGAATATTCACACATAAGACATGCGTGAAATGGAAGCAATTCCGTGTTTCGTCTGATGAGTGTGGTGCCGGGGGCCTAATTTAAGTCCCTTACTCCTTACCACTCTTTTCATAAGGAGAGGATGGGAAGGGGAAGTGGATTTGACGGTGGAGGAGATGCATAGGAAGGGGCAATATCCTACTTATGTGCGTCTCCTCATCCGTCGGATAAGGGTAGGCAACGCATCTGCAATTACGGATGTCTATGTATAGTGGTCGCTTCGCCACTTTGCCGGATTCAGGTGGCCTTTTCTCGTTTGCCACCGTATGTTATAAAAAAATACAAGTGATGTGGACGACTCGATGACTACAACATATTCTACGCGTAGGCAACTGAACTAAAATGATTAGAATAAAATTCATTCTTTTTATAACTGTATACTAAGTATTGAGTTTCAGGGCTGAATACGAGTGTTCGTGTGTTAAAAAAAAAAACAAACAAATGTCTGGAGGTTAAGAACTCTGATGCAGATAACTCACGTTTTTATAAAGTCAATTTGAGAATAGGGGTATTAAGATGGCTTTAAAGGCCTAATTACTGATAAACTTTAGGTTTTTGTATGTATTGAAATAACTCGAAAATTACTGGGCCGATTTGAAAAATTATTACTCCGTTAGAAAGGTAAATTATCTATGAGTAACATAGGTTGTTTTTCTTATTATTTCACTAGCTTTCGTCCGCTTGAAATTTAAAAAACTAAAGTAATCTATGTGTTCTTCCAGACTATCCTCTACGTCTATGCCAAATTTCATCGAGATCTGTTTAGCCGTTTAGGCTACAAACTCTAACAAACAACCAGCCATCTAATCTTTCCCATTTATATTAGTATAAAAGTTTCCAACGGACGAAATCGCAAGCAACTGCTAGTCTATATTAATTTTATAAGAGGGAAGATTTGTTATTGGATTTCTCTATGTATTGAAATAATTTGTTTCGCTGCATTTGTACTTATTATATTACACGCCCGAAGGGGTACTTATTGTTGTTACTTTATATAGATGTTTGTATAATTTAATTGCAATAAATAAATAAATAAATAAATAAACAAATAAATAAATAAATAAAAACTCGAAAACTACTGGGCCGATACCAAAAATTCTTTCACCGTTGATAATCTACGTTATAACTGAGTAACAATGGCTAGGTTTTTTTTAATGCTTAAATACCATGTGGACAAAGTCGCGAGCAACAACTAATGTAAAATATTTTCAGTGTTACTTTATTTTTATAGCATTTTAATTGCATCGGTAAAGGTAAAATGCGCTGTGCCCCAGTCATCGCTTGCACGCTATCCGGCAACGCCTTTGTACGACCTAATTCTACGTATCTATGTCGTTTTGTATATTCAAGTGAATTTGCTATAATTATTAGAAAAATCCAATGATATCTTATTGTTTTTCAATTCTTTATTTACGTGGTTTATAGGCGTCGCACCTTTTAAACATTTTGACAGAATAGCATGCAAAAAACAGTAAAAAAAAAAATAAAAAAAATTGTATAAAACCTAAATATTTTCCGAGAATGTAATATGCAATTACTTATAAAAAAATAATCGCATATTGGGTTATAATTTTTGCTATATCATTAGAATTTCTATGAGTTTGTTAAAAAATTATATCACTTTAAGAAAAAATATTACATGTGTTTTCAATAAAATAGTCAATAATTCAAAAACTTTATTTACAAGTAACAGTTTTATTTACATTTATTATACAGCAGTTAAAATATTTAATGGTGGATTGTTCTGGACCTTTGCAATTTCCTCTTTAAATTTAGTAATAGTTTCCTTTGCTAAGTGCAGCTTCTCCTTTAGTTCTGAAATCTCATTTCTAACTTTCGCTTGGGCGGAAATTATCCTCTCTAATGTTTTCTCTTTCTTTTCTTCAACTAAAAAAGGATTTAAATTTACGGTTAAACATAATGCGAAAAGCAATTTTACAAAATTAGAAAATTTTAGCAGTTGTCTGCAACTTCATTGCTACGGAATTAAAAAGAAGCCTATAATACTGCTGCATGCATTGTACTCTCGGAGTAACATTTACTATTGGAATTATGCTATTTGTTCTTGTTTTAAACTATGCTCTACATCAACAGTTAATGCTACAAACTTCTAGAAAACATCCATCCATCTAAACTTTCATATTTATAATGTTAGTAAAAAATATTTGGTCATCTTGCAATACTTACAGTTAGTGTCATGAGCCCAGGGTCCATTTGTGATGGGTTTGATGTTGTAAAGCATGTGTTGCATGAGCAGTGTTGGCTCCTGGAACACTATCTCCTCATAGGACTCGCTGACCAATGCACGGCCCACTGTTGGTGGTGCACTCTCATTGATGGGGGATTGGAATAACTTCAGAATGTGGTAAAGTGTGACCTTAGACATAAAATATATTCTGTAATGAATACTTTTAACATATCATATTACACTAGCTGTTCCAGTGCAATTTCATCGGCATAAAATTATTTTATTGTTTACATGTGTCAAATTGCCAATTGCAAATGTCAAAATGACATGACAAAACTTGGCAATCTTGCTTTCTTGATGTTGGCAGCAACTTATGGTCTCTTTCCCACATTAGAGTTTTTATCCAAAATATGTACCCCCCTAAGTTTAATGGAGTCAAAACATATAGCCTAAAGCGAGATGTAAGTGTAGAACTTTTTATTAAATAAAGAATTCAAAAATATGCTGTAATTGCTGACATCTTAGGCAACAAAGAAGTGTGTGTTTACACTTTATTATAAGAAAGTATAGATTTTGTAGGTGGCATAGGATCTGGTATTGTGGCAATGGTTTCAAATATGACACTCAACTATTTTTACTATTTTAAAGAAAATAGCTTTACAAACACATCTTTAAAAGCAGTTCAAGAGTTGTTAGAATAGATGTTAATTACTTACAGGTCTTTCATTGGGATCATGAAAATATAATTTAATAACAATCTCGAATTCACCCCAACCGGTTTCCGTTAGCTCGTACGGCGGTTTCGTTACTATTCTGTTTGGATTCGCATAACTTTCATGTAGTTTAAAATGTATTTTCTTTATATATATTGACATATCTTCGTTAGCGTATGGTTTAACGTACACAGTCCATTGATGTGTGTGACCGTCCTCTTCCCGCTTTTTACCAAAATATCTTGCTATATTACCATATACGATCGGCTTGACTATAACTAAACCCTAAAAAATAAATAACTTATCTTGTATTAATCTTCTAAATTACTTATCTCATAAATTAAATAACTTATCTTATAAAATCACTAAATAGTATCTAGAAACCCGGCTTCATAGGTTTTATTATTACTGCTACCGTGTTAGATTACCTTTACTCTTCCTCCTGAATCAGGACCGTAATCAGTTTGACCGGACATTTGTACTTGATGTTTTGTTGAATTATAGTCAAAGTCAATTCTATGGATTTATTATATTACAATTTTTTTGTTTATAAATAAATTATCACGGACCAATCTTGAATCGAAGTTTTACGAAGTTTCAACTTTTGACACTGACATTACATACTGAAGTTGGCAGTTGACAAGGTTGGCTTTAAAAAGTCTATAGTGTTTTCTAGCACCGACTACAAGCTTTCTGCCATCTTTGCGTTACTCATTTTAAAAATTATCGTTTTTTAACAATACAAAACATTAAATACCACGCAAATATTCAAAAATCTTTTACAAGATTCAAGTGTTTATTGTTTCTTAGGTGATATAGGATTTGGGTGTGTTTTTTCCAACATATGGTTAGAAATAAAAGATCTTTAATTTTCTTACACATACATTTATTATCTCATAATGCATGTGAACAATGGTCCAACAAGCTCGTTTCTTACATCTAAACGTAATATTTGATTAACATTTAACTAACTACGTTGCGGCATCGTTTTAGAATGAGCATGGATATTACAGTTACATTATTAAAAATAAGAATATTGTGGCTCAATGCTGGGGTTCGGCAAAATAGGCCCTTTACACCGAAAAATACAATTACAGCTATAGGATCACATTGTGGCTTGGCTGGGTTTGGTGTTTTAAGTAGCAATGGGTTTTTTACTTAAAATTTATGATCAGTTCGCGGGTTTTCAACGTCAGCCAGTAATGGATCATTTTCTTCTTCGAGTCGAGACGACCGCGAACTGTGCCTCGAAGCTGAGACCCTTTGCGTGAATATGAGAATGTTAGGCACAAGGGCACCGCAAGG